TGCCACTAAACCTGACCGTGCTCCCATTCCGCATATACATGATGTAACGGCTATCATTCAGGATAAGTGTACATTTACTAAATTAGACCTTATCAGGGCTTACCATCAAATTCCGGTAGAACCCAAACGCATTCCAAAGACTGCCGTAACAAAATTATTTGGGTTGTTTGAATTTCTGCGTGTGCCATTTGGACTAAGAAACGCAGCACAGTCTTTTCAAAGATTTATCGACCATGTATTGCACGGTTTGCATTTTGTCTGTGTCTAGGTCGATGATGTCCTTTTAGCCAGTTCTTCTATGGAAGAACATATTAAACATTTACAGCTCGTTTTTGAGCGTTTTGAGAAATTTGGGGTTGTTATCAACCCAGTAAAGTGTGAATTTGGAAAGTCTGAAGTAATTTTCCTAGGTCACCGCATTAATTCAGTAGAAATTTCACCTTTCCCATCTAAAGTGGCGACCATTTCTGACTTTCCCGTTCCAGATACCACGAGAAAGTTGGGATAGTTTTTAGGGATGGTAAACTTTTTTCGAAGGTTCCTGCCAAATTGTGCGCAGGTTATAAAACCTTTAACAGATATTTTAACTGATGTCAAAAATTGTGACATAGTTTTATCTGACCAAGCCTTGGCAGCCTTCCATCAAAGTAAGGTTTTATTGTCCCGAGCAGTTGAATTGTCACATGTTGTCCCAGGTAGCGAGTTGTGTTTGACAGTTGACGCCTCTTCGATTCGTGTAGGTGCAGTACTACAGCAGAAGATCGATAACCACTGGAAACCAATTTCCTTTTTTTCTAAGAAACTAACTTCTACGGAATCCAGGTACAGCACATTTGGACGTGAACTTTTCGCAGCTTATTCAGCTGTCCGTTACTTTCGACATTTGTTGGAAGGGCGGATTTTCTAATTATTGACAGGCCACAATCCCTTATTGGGGGCTTTTCAATCACTCCGATAAGTATTACCCACGTGAAGTCAGACATTTGGATTATCTGTTACAATTCACTTCAGATATCCGTTTCATCGAGGGAACCAACAACATACCTGCAGACACTATGTCTCGTGGTATCAATGCTTTTGTGCTAGACGCATCAATCATTTGTGGAAGCACAGGAAAAGGATCAGCAACTACAGCATCTTCTACGAGAGAACCACACATCCTTGACATTGTCGAGAATACATGTTCCAAACACAGAATTGGAAGTTGTATTGACACCAGCACCGGACGATTGCGCCCCTTCGTGCCTGAGTCAATCCGGAAGACGTTATTCTCTTCCATGCACAATTTATACCACCCATGGGCTAATGCCTCAATACGGCTAATCACAGATTTATTTGGCCACGTATGAAAACTGACTTTCGGCAATGGTCAAAGACTTGTGTGCTGTGTTAGAGGGCCAAAGTGGGGAGAAATACCCGTTCAACTCCTGGATCCTTTCCATTACCCGACGAGCGGTTTGCACATGTGCACGTGGACATCACTGGACCACTCCCCTCATGTGAGAGACAGACATATCTATTGACATGTGTTGATCGTTTCTCCTGTTGGTGTGAGGCTCTTCCCATGTCAGACATTACTGCACATACCACAGCAAAGACTTTTGTTTCAGGTTGAGTTTCCCGTTTCGGGGTCCCTGCTGTAATTACTACAGACAGATGGCGATAATTCGAGTCAGACCTGTTCAACCAGCTGATGAGGATCTTGGGGAGTAAAAGAATCAAAATCACCGCTTATCATCCTGAGGCTAATGGCTTAGTGGAACGATTTCATCGTACACTTAAATCAGCTTTAAGGGCCGTGATGCATCAGGCAAATTGGCTGGAGCATCTACCGTTGGTTCTTCTGGGACTCCGCACTGCGGTTAATGACGATCTTAAATGTTCATCTGCTGAGATAGTTTATGGCACTACACTCAGATTCCCAGGACAGTTTTTCCTGAAACCTCCACAAAAAGTTTTGAACTTGACCTCGTTCGTTGATCGGCTTAACACGAGAATGGCGAACTTAGCATATAAGTCTTCAGCACCGGTTCAAAGGCAGATATATGTGCCTAAACTACTGCAGACATGCACACATGTTTTTGTACGGGACTTGGCTAAGTCCCACACATTGCAGCCAGCCTACAGAGGACCTTTCAAAGTCCTTAAGAGACATTCGAAGTATTTTATGGTGAGCGTTAACAATGCAACACAAAACATTACTATGGACAGATTAAAGCCTGCCTTTTTGGACACTACCTGGCTCCGCATGGACACTCCAGTGGCTCCTCCATCACCAGTAGCGCCGGTGGTAGTAAAAGAGACTGTGACCAGATCTGGCCCTCGTGTTAGATGGCCCAAACATTTAATGACATAATTCCTTTTCAGGTTTTGGGTTGAGCAGAACCATAACTGGAGGATATTTCTCCCTCCACACCGAACTCTTCCTTTTTCATTCGATTACAAAACCATTTTTCTTTAAATTTCTAATACATGTTGTGAAGTTTTGTTTTTGTTACATTTTAGCAGTACCTCTGGTACAGATTAATGAAACTGTCTAGGGAGGGGGTACTTGTAGGGAGACCACAGTTGTTTTCTCTTGGGTTGAGATCATGCGAGTTTGGCTCCTTTAGAGAGGAGAACTCTTCTGTCTCTTTTAGTTTTTGCTTCCGTTTTTTGAGGAACGGCCTCTTTACCTTCCTAACCACCAGGGCGTCCACACACGTAGAAACTGTTCAACATATGCACGTCCTAGCGAAAGAAAAAGAAGTAATTTCTATTTATTTATCTGCGGACTATCAAAGGCCATATAGCTGGTATGTTATTTTTTTTGTTCTCGTTCTGTAAACCTTCTCGTTCCTTTATGGGACAATATAAACAATGATTTGTTTTGGGACATATGTAAATCTTTTTAATATATGTATGTAAGTTGTTTGCCTTATTAAATGTTTTTTTTTTACGCTCGCGGATATCGTCTTTCTATATTCGTATTCAGTGTTAGTGTGTCAATGGCTACGCTAATGCTAATATTAGTATCGGTGTGCTACTGGAAGGGTAAAACACGTTATTCTTCCTAACACAAAATAGTCAGTAAACTCTGTGTGGCTGATAACCTATACTAATATCGTGAACAAATAAACGTTATTTTCATTATATTTTAAGGGAAAAGGAAACATTAATTTTGCAAAATCCAGTTAATTCATCCTTAAATTTACTAAATGACTAAATGAAACATCATTTGGAGAAATATTGAATTTTAAGGGATTTTTAAATTTGTTTACATTTTTCGTCTATCATGGCGGTCCGATGCTTGATGAGTGAACCTGCAATTATTTTAGAAATACCTAAAAATTTTATTCACATACGGAAATGTATTTTTCTTTTAATACGGATTAGTACGGATTTTTTAAATATGCATTATCTTTCAATAAAACCAAAATTTAACTTCAAAGAAGACATTTAAATTATTTAAAATGCTTTTTTAGGATTTTTAGGAAGTCCATGGCAGTACCTTTTCTATAATAATCAGGATTCCCGTTTATAGATTATTTTTCCATTAAATTTATCGCTCATAAGTATCAGCACTTTTCGCGATGGTGGTCTTTCTTGATATTTAGTGGGTGTTGTCGGGACCATACCTGTGGTAATTTCAACCAAATTATAAATTATCTTTATCATTCAAAGTTCATAATTATAAACACGCAACACCAATAAATTATTTTTGTATTCTTCGTGAGTTTTTCTTTTTTTCAAATGAAATCATCAACTGGTCGTGTGTGTGAAATTATAAAATGATCTTATATTTCTTTCTTATATCGTGAGCAAAAGGTGGCGCCATAAAATATTTCACAGTTAAAAGCAAAAAGTAGCTTTTTCAATGCGCATCTTTTTTCCTTCTGAGCAAGATTTTTGAAAATTTCACTAAGTATTAAAAATATAAAATAGATAATCTTTAGAGCCAATGAATTCGTCTACTCGAATGTGTAGCGTTGATAGATGTTTTTCAATAGGAGGTATGCGTTCATTTAAGGTATAGGTTACTCCCACTTGGCTTTGCCAGTTTCGCCAAGACGTTGTTAAGTGTTAAACAGCGCCACTTAACAACGTTTTAGCGAAACTGTTTAACAGCGCCACTTTCTCTTTTTATTCTGGTATGCGGTAGAAGCAACAACAGCAAGGCACTTGTTCTCAACTTCGGTATAACTTTCCCCTGAGTGACTGGACTACCTCCCACACACATGTATATCACTCACAAATGCACAATTCGACTGTCAGAAAAAAAAACAGGCTTTATTTTATGGACACACTTTATTCCTTATAATTTATGAAAACAGTAAAGGATTTGTGTCTTTTAATAACTTTGTAGTGTCCTTTGAATGCCGGCTGTAAAGAATGCATCTAAATTTTTTAATAAGTGCAATTTGAACGAGATTGTGCCAAATGCACCAAACGCCATCTTTTCTTTTTTATGTAGATATTTTAAGGTGTAATTGGTTGGCAGATGACAAGGTGTCAACATATTCAGGAATTTTGATGTTTATTTGGCTGGGTTGGTGCAATGTGGTGCCATGAATGCGTGCGGCAGCATGATAATTTTTATCAGTCTTAAATACTAAGCGTAGTACTTATAGTACCAAAGGGAGATGATCCACACATCTAATTTTTCTTTCAAAAATTCTTTAAAGAGCTGTGAAAACTTTCGGAAAGTTTAGATTCAGGGTGATGTGCAATGGTTCTGGTTCTAGGAGGGTCCAAATAAATTAGTTAGCTGTTAAAAAAAAGATCTGATTCAAATTGTTGTCCTCTATCCGTCGTAATAACCGAAGGGATGCTGCTTAGGGATTAATGATTTTAGTGATACGTCTTATTAATTAACCCATAGCTGAGGGAGAGAAGAGGTGAATTCATACCTTTCACAAAGGGATATGCACGTAAGTGTATATAACGAACTGGGAATTGGAATTCGGCACTCCGGTTAACAATTCCTAGACATTGTCCATTACGCCACCCACACATCCAAGCTTACAGCACCAAATATTCACAAGCGGTCACCCATCTAAATACTGACCAGGCTCGCTGTTGCTTAACTTCAGTAATCGTACGGGTGTTTCAACGTGATGTGGCCGATACCTGATTTAATGTTAGTGCAAAAATATCTCTCAGTAAGTAATTTAGTCGTTTCCTTAATGCCTGGGTAAGTAATGTGTAAGATGTTAAAAAAATCTTCTGACACAGATTATTCGGAAATAACAAAAGCAGTAGGGATATACGGAAGGAACAAATTAAAGTCAGATACTTTCATGTTCTGAAGTTGCAAAGATCTAGAAAAGTTTAACTTTTGTAGACTAAACCTGTTCTGTGCAACTTCTAATTTTTCAATATCTACACTTGAATCTATACAATTTGTACTGACATTTCTAGCAGGTATGTTAATTCAACTCAGATATGACTTGTGACTTGGGCAAGGTGCCTTGTTTCTTGGGGAGAATATTTATTCGACTTAGCTAACATGGATCATCTAGACGGTTTGTGATAATTTAAAACATGAAAACTACGTCCTTCCATTAAATGACAAAAGTGACGAATAATTGTAAATTTTTAATAATTCCCGCTTGATTCTACTGCATCTCTTTTCAGCATTTAGGTAATATCTTTGCAAAGAAAGAAACCAGTTTCCACTCGTCAGTGGTGCGTTGTTGATTACAGTTCCTGGTGGAAACGTGGAAACATAAATTGCACGTCAAAGAATATTGGTTGGATCAGAAGAGGGTAGACCAACCGAATTCGGTAAATCTTTGGTCATTTCGAAAGCTAACAGGGCTGTATCCACCAAATGGATATCGCAATTTTTCTTTTTCAATATGTCGGTCATGGCGCGGACTGTTTTAGTATATCGCAGAATGACATAGAGATAAAAATTGAACATTCCTAGAAATTAGCGAAGATTATTTCATTCTTGTAGATAAAGGGGATTTACAAATGTCATCAGTTTTCTCTGGTAATAGGCAAATTCGTAACTTTTTTTAACAAGAAAGTTAACTTAGCTTTATCCGAATTGATATTTGACTGGATTTGTAACAATTACTGGCACGAATTTTACAAGAACGGGAATCTAAATCTAGTGGCGAATTGAAATGAGAATTAACTTGATAAGTTGATGTGAAAACCCTAGATAGCAAAGCTATGTAATTTGGATTTTATTAGTGTTGTGGATCCCGCGTGAAAAATAGGTATCCAATAAATGACAAACGCAAGTATTTAAGCTAAGAAATTAAATGTATTTACACAAAATACAAAAGGTAATGCTGTTAGTAAAATCCAGGAACACGATTTGTAGCAAATACAGATAGATATATACAGTTTCGAAGTAGGACTTCCTTAGAGTCTACGTGCTTGTAACTGACTTCTGCAAGAGGTTACTTTACTCTATCCGACAACCGACACTCACAGACGATTCCGGTACGACTCTTGTACGACTCATCTTCTCTGCCTGACTGTGGCTATTTTATGGCAGCAGGACGAGTCCATTATATCCGAAAAGAGTGGACCCCATAACACCTTCCTCCTTGGATCGCTTTTTGGGGGGAGTTAATATTTTTGTCTCTTGTGATTGATGATTAGTGGTTCGACGAATTTTCTTTTCCTATTTGACCTTCTCATTACTGTATTTTCCTGCGGTCTTTGTATCTCAAACGCTTCAAAGATTGTATCAACAGCGTCGTCATCTTCTACGGTTGACGAGCTTGGTTCCTCAATTCGTCTTTTCTGTAGCTGGTCGATATGTCTTCTGTGTGTGAACTTTTCGCCTTTTATGGTATACATTAGATTTCCGATTCTATTGATTACTGTACCCGGCTCCCAGTACGACATATTGTTTCTAAAATTTTTGAAATAAACCCGTTCGCCAGGTTTGAATGACCTCTTTGGCACCATCGATGTATATTGAGTTTTGCTCTTGCTCGGTAGTGGGTAATGGTGGTCCTTTATTGCCTTGTTGAGTCCTGTCGAAAAATCTGCGCATACGCGAATTTCTCCCGACTTCTTTTTAACGTAAACCACCGGCGCAGCCCACTCACTAAACTCTGTTTTCGATAGAATCCAAGTTTGTTCAAGTCTCTCCAATTCTTTATCTATTTTTTCTATAGTTGCAAATGGTACATTTCGCTTCTTTCTAAAGATTGGTTGGACGTTTTCTTTCAATTCTATTTTGGTCTAAAGTTTGTTGCATCGTCCTAACCCGCTTGAAAATACCTCAGGAAATTGCTTGTATAATTCTTCCTTCAATTTTATGGTATCTGATTGTTCAACCTCTAACTTTTTGCAAAACGAGTTAATAGGTAGGTCCCAAACGTTGAATTTCTGCATCCAGTCGATACCTACTAAGTTTTCAGTATCTTTCATGGCGTATATCTTCAGTTTTTTTGTTTTGCCGTGAAATTTAACATTCACTATTATTTCTCCCTCAAATTTTATTCGTTTTCCTGTAACCGATATGGCAATTTTTTGAGTGTGTAACATCGTAGGTCTATTGAGTTTTTTCCATGTCTGTAAGTTGATTATCGTGAGGTCGGAACCCGAATCCAATTGTAATTTAATCTTTTTGTTTAAAATTTCCAGTTCTACATATTTTCTTACATTGTTGTTGTCATCATTATTCATCCTTGTAGCTCTTATTCTATTAGTATCTTTTCTATTTCTACATTGGGATGCCTTGTGGCCTTTTTTCCACATTCATGACAGTTTTTATATCTGAAGCGGAAATCCTTGTTCCAATGTAATCCTCAACATCGATAACATGCTGCTGGAGGGGGCTTATATTTGTTTCGATATTTGTCATAATTTGTCCTGTATGTCGTAGTTTTTCTCTTATCATAATATTTTATTTTTCTTTCCGGGGAGGCTGAGAATCTTTTTTCATTGTCGTAAAATTTTAGTTTTCTTTCCGGGGAGGGTGAAGAACGTGGACTTTTGTTTAACTTACGTATATGAGAAACAGCTGATTCTTCAATGTCCTTTGCGTCTTTCTTAATGCTTAAACATCTCTGGCAATCTTCTGATAATTGCTGTAATGTTAGACCCGGTTCATTTTGTAATTTTGTCAGCATTCTTCTACGTATTTCGTTGTCTTTTGTAGAAACTAGCCCTTGAACAAAGATGAGACATTTAAAAATATCCGGGGTTAATTCCGCTAGTTTGAAGTCGTCACAATGTTTATTTACTATTGCGGCAAACGTGGAATAATCCTCATTATCGCCCTTTACCAGCTTAAGGCATTTCCACCTCTTATGGAAGAGTGATGTTTTGGGGCTGCAGAGTTCAAATTTTAATTCGTTCGTCTTTTTTGGCAAGATATAATCCACGAACTTTGTATATTCTTCAGTTCCTAATTTTCTAAGCAATAGACGTAGCTTTTTTGCTTCTGTCCAATTTTGACAGTCTATATATAAGATGTCTTCATGTCTTCTGAAGTAATCTCCAAAATTTTTGTCCTCATCTAGAGAATATTTAAAAATCTCTATGGTATTCCACACAGCGTCTTGCGAAAATGTTGCTTCTTTTTCAATATCTAATTTCTTGTTGCCTGCTACTTTCAATATTAGTTCCTGGAGCTCTGTTTGTCTATCTTGATTTTCCTTTTGTGTTTGTAATAATTGCTTTTGCCATATTTCTTGTAGCTGTAACTATTGCTCATTTTGGTGCTTTATTAGTTCTGCCAACATATTTTTAAAATCCTCCATGATAACTCAATTTTCTGTATTTTTTACTCCACGAAATTGTTTGTCGCTAATTTGTTGTTGGACGACGAGGGAAGGATTTTTCTTTTGTTGATGCTTTTTCTTTTCCGCTTGGGTTTGAATCTTCGTGGCCAAGTTGTTGTTGGTTAGGCGTTCGAAAAGTTTTTCTTTTCCGCGTGAGTTTCGAATCCTCGTTCGCCAAGTTGTTGTGGATCCCGCGTGAAAAATAGGTATCCAATAAATGACAAACGCAAGTATTTAAGCTAAGAAATTAAATGTATTTACACAAAATACAAAAGGTAATGCTGTTAGTAAAATCCAGGAACACGATTTGTAGCAAATACAGATAGATATATACAGTCTTGAAGTAGGACTTCCTTAGAGTCTACGTGCTTGTAACTGAGGTTACTTTACTCTATCCAACTACCGACACTCACAGACAACTCCGGTACGACTCATCTTCTCTGCCTGACTGTGGTTATTTTATGGCAGCAGGATGAGTCCATTGTATCCGAAAAGGGTGGACGCCATAACAATTAGCAAACCAGAAGTACCTTATGGACTGTTTTTAAATTGTATTATTGGACAAAGAAAAAGTATCTAATTACAATAAATTAAAATTAACAAATTGTATTGTCTGAATTTAAACTCATGACATAGCAGGGTTTTTAGTTTAAGCTATTAAAATCGGGTAAAAGAAGCAGCACATACTCCTGACCGGCATCACTTACTTTTTATTAGTTTCAATTAGTTTCGTAAAACGTCTAGAAAACAAGCGTTAGGTGTAAACAGATTTGGTGTCGAAATATCAGTAATCTTACCATACATCTCTTACCGGGGAAGTATTGTCTGCTATCGATGCTATCTTGCGGTAATCTTTGCATGAATAAATGCCACAGAAGGTATCAACTTAATTTGTGCCAGTCGTAGAATCTTTTTTTTTATTATTCATTTTCATTTAATTCCAAGCAAAGCGATAAAGCCATTAAGACCCAAGGGAGTTACTGAGAGTGAAAGAAACAGAGAAAACTGTATCAAAAAGAAAGAGAAATTAAAATAACAGGACTCGGTCTGAATTTATGGGATGAAGAGTTACCATTATTTACACGTAAACGTTTTTTTAAATTTAATTGTTGTTGTCATCACATCGTTTCGGCCAATTTGCCTTCTGGGTCTCATCAAATGGTTGCTGATATGGATTACCTTCATGGAATTTCGAATTGAAATTTTTTAATCTAGACTAATCTTTATTTAATCTACAGGGATAGATTGTTTTTGTTCCACTGTCCATGTTTAGATATATTGTCTACTTCTTATTTAACACTTCTCACTTATTGCTCGCTCGGTTTCCCGTGAGACAGTTCTGGGAGGAGAACCTGTTGATGAGTGCT